AAGGAAAGGAAAGGAAAGGAAAGGAAAGGAAAGGAAAGGAAAGGAAAGGAAAGGAAAGGAAAGGAAAGGAAAGGAGTTTCTGTCTCTCAAAATGCCCCCCCCCCCCCATGAGCCAGCTCTGGATTGACCCATGGGGGCAGTTGGTGGGACGTAGTAGTGGAGAGGGGATTTTAGCAATTCAGCCATGGTTGGGAACCATGGTTTCAGAAATGAATTGGGAAGCATGAGAGAAAAGTCCAAGTCAGGGTCAGGAATCGGAGAGGAGGTGGACCCAGATGTAACGTTTGCTGAGCGGAGCAATGGCCATTGATTTCTCTCTCTCTTTTTGAAGAACAACAATGAATGATCCTCAGTGGTTTTTATGCATGAGTCACTGTTCTTACTACTCATGCAGAGGGGCAACAATTAGCTACCCCAGAAGGCCGATCATTTTGCTGAGCCAGGCACTGGCAAGGTCTGGCCTTCTTGTTTTTGTCTTCTCCTGTTGCTGTTCCTATTGTTGTTATTACAATTATTACAATTATTATTACCAGAGGTCGAAGGGGAACAAAATCTTCTTTGCATGGGGCATTCACAGTTCTGGTTGTGAGTCCTGAAAATGACTCTTCCTCTTTTGCTCTGAAAAATGGGGGCACCCTACGCCCCATCTTCAAAAGTTGATTGCAACATTCTTTGTGCAAAGGCTGATTTCTGATGTCAAGTTCCCAGCCTGCTCTCTCCGCTGGCCTCCCTCCCCACCTCCACCCCGCTTTGTATTTTAAATATGCTGCAGGATCTCTTCTTCCCTTTTTGCTCAGGGAGAGAGAGTGGTGGGGAGGAAAAGAAGAGAAATTGGAAAATGCAATTACAAGCCATTGTCTGTCTCGGCGTTTCTCTACTGATCATCCTGCCATGACTAAAGATTTAATTAAATCGTAGCCCTCCCGCTTCCCAATCAGGCCCCTTTCGTTTCAGTGTCCATCATTCCCCCTTCCCCCCCTCCCCTTTCATTCAGGAAGCCAGACTCTATGATGGCTGCAAGACATTCTCCCGGTTCAGAAGAGGAGAGTCCCCTGCAGTGATGAAGCTGGAGGCTGCAAGGCGGCACTGAGAAGCCCCCCGAAACAGGGGAGGGAAATCTTTCCCCTTTGCCTCTCCAATAGCTTAGAGGGGCCAGTTAGCTATGTCTACTAATGAAGCACTTCTATTCCAGCTCCGTCTCTGAAGACCTGGGCTGTAGACGTGGAGAATTCAGTAGGAAGCATTATGGTTCAGTAGAACTGGTAAGTTTTTCCCCCCCTCCCCTTTCTCCTTATTTTTAAAATGATTTAAGCCCAGAGCCTTTGGGGCACTTCCCCAAAGGCTTTGGGGATCCCTATCTCAGCACCTCCTCATTGCAATTTTACAGACTCTCGGCCTTCCTGCCTCTCCGCTGATGCAGATGTATCTTGCAATGGTTAGGCGTGGGGAACTGCTCTGTCTCATCCAAGCTGGGTTTCCTTTCTCTCTGCTGCGGATTGCTCACCTCTGTTTTTTCTGCCTTTGGGTAGAAAGGAGGAAAATGCAAGTCTACCCACAGAGATTGCATTGAAAAGACAGAAATCGAGGAGCTGTCCTTTGAAGGATGGGGTGGTTGGGAAATCACGATGCAATGTGATGGCTACGGAGGTCCCTCTCCCCAAATTGCTCTTTGCTTCTGTGCTATCTTTCCTTCACCTCCCCTCCCCTGCCATTTTACCCTTCAGGAACCAAATTCATGTTTTGAGTTTGGAGCCCAGAGAGGAATCCCCCTGACCACCCACCCTCCCCCCACCCCATACAGACTGTTGCAATGATTGGCAAGAGGAATTATGTAAGTTGGCTCTGGAGGAATCAGGATGGGAGTGGGGAGAGCCCCCACCCCGACTTTTGCCTGTAAGGCACCTGCAAGGTTCTGGCTGATGCATGCTAGAGAAACTGTGTGCATCCAGGGCTAGGAAACTGGTCAATTTTTGCCCTGCAGCAGGGTGCTAAAGAGATATAAAACCTCTCCCTGTATGTGGCACGTGCAGTTGAAATTTGATAGATTTAGAACTGTTGATTTGATAGAAACCAGTTCAGAAATAGGGTGATGTCTATGAACAGGAACCACATTTTCTTCTCATTTAACTTGGGTTGGTATTGGTTGTAGGGGAATGTATTTAGAAGGTTTCTTTTCCTCCTCCTCCTCCTCCTCCTCCTCCATGATTGCAGTTGCCTTCCTTTCTCAGCTCATACTTCAGGGAGAAACTCAGCAATCACTCATCCTAATCAACGGCCTGGTTTCTCAATTGTGGTAAAGTATAAGAGGCTTGGCTTGGTGTTGACTTTGCAACATTGGGCAAGCCCAAAACGAGAGCCTACAAATCATTCTTCACAGCTACGCATGTCCTGTAGACCCCATCCAGCTGTGGTTTATTCAGTAAACCATGGGCTAATGGTGTGTGGAGTTTGCAGAAAGCCATCCTAACAACGTACCTCTTTAAAGGCCTGGTTCAC